TCGAACGATGGGGCGACAAGCAGTAAAAGAACGAGGTTTCGTCCATGTTCAGCACGTTGTCAGCCGAATAACCCGCCGTTGTGCTCAGGACGTCTTTACGCCCAACGTTCACAGTTTCGCGCGGTACTGATCCTGCTTCGCCGTGTTGCACCTTGCTGGTGAATCCATGTTTACGCTGAAACTTGTAGAGCCACCCTTTGGAGAACTTCAGACCAGTCTGGGCGCCAAGTTCGTTGGAGAAGGCGTGCGCTTGTTGGCGAATGATGTCCCCAGTGATGCAGATGCCAAGCTCTTCGCAACGAAGAACCCACTCGACAAGCTTTGTCTCGACTTCGGGCAGCGTGACGCCTTGGTTTTTGGTGCGCTTGTGCTTATCGGCACGCAGACTTTGCGTTTGGTAGTTCTTGATAACATGAAATATTGTTGATTTGGTCGGCGTGGACGCGAGACAAAAGGTTTCAGCAGCCCACACAGCCAAAGCAGAGTACGATGCATCAGGTTGGCTTATGTGCCTGGCGTATAGTTCATGCTTCTCCACAAGTGTCATCCGGAGCTTCATGTTGATTGTACTTCGCAATTTTGATTTGCAAGTTCGTTTGAAAGTTTGAAATACCTCTCACGTTCAATAATAATCATTTCTAAAAATCATAAAGCAAAGCCCGTTCGGCTAGCGGGGGGGAAATCAGTACTGGGACATCGGAGTGTTGGGTAACGAAGTTTGGAAACTTAAAGGTACTACTATTGACGTTGACACCGATATTTCTAACCTTCGCCAGGTAATCGCCGTAGATTCCACAAACTATCAAACTGGGGAAAGTTGTTTCGTCCACGAGATGATACACTTGGTAACACTCTTCAGCACTTGCCTTCTTGTGCCATCGAAGTCGCACGGAGACTTATCGTCCTCTTTCATGGCCAACGATTTCTACATCATTCCACCGAAAAGCAACCACCTCACCGATTCAAGAGCATCCGATATAGCCCAAGGCCAACAATAAGCGCAGCATTGTACAAGGAATGGATGGAGGTAAGCCGGGAAGTTCATGAGGGTTGACAGCAGATACACGATGAGTGGATATGTCTTTTTCTCTTCGTCGACATTGTTTTGTTTGTTGTAGTTCTGTAGCCCAGTGAAGAAGCGTCGAGTCGTGAGCAGGGCTCGTTGCAACAGTTCATGCAGAAAGTATGCGACAAGAGCAGACTTGGTCTAGGGAATTGTACGAGTCTTGCTACCCGAGTGT